CGCCGCCTCGTCGCGACGCACGGCGTCTCTCCTTCTCGGCGTCACGGTTAGGGCGGCTAAGGACTAGGCGGTGGCGGCGGGCCGAGACGAGTGTTAATGCACGATAGATTTCCATCTAAGGGGCGGATCGCTATTTTCGGCTGCGAACCGATATGGATAAAGGGACCCCACAGAGCCGGCACTGTGCCACTCGCCGCTCTCGGTCTCTTGCACGACGTACGCCCTAAGCGACCATTGCCGATCTCTCGACTCATTAGCGAACGGTAAATCGAACGAGTGTTCCGTTAGTTTGCATCCGCTGAAACAGCGTGCTGGTGTGTAACCGGTGAGCTTTCTTCTTGATCGTTGGATCGAGACGAGGGTTGCACGCATGATAATCGCGGACGATCGGCTCGGTCCTCGTGCCTTGGAGAACAGGAAACAGTAGTGTGTAGAAACGAGGTTTTTTGCAAGGTGTAATTCGCGTCGTTTCAGTGACTTCGCACCGGAAATCAGTATCGACCTTGCCAAGAGAGTGTACGAGGACCGAACGCAGTCGATCGTTGCAGGATCCTTGCATGTCATCGAATCCTCATTGTGAAGTGATGTTCCGCAAATGTGATACCAATGTCTGTGCTCTTTTTAGTATACGTTGCTACCGTTGGCTTTAATAGGCGATTCTTTGTTCGATTGGTATACGATTAGACGCTCTTCTTTTAAAACAACGAGTAGCAAACGTTTAACGATGATAATTATTCGATCGTACAATTATGGTAGTATTTTAATAATCAACGATTAGATAGCTGCAGTATGTCGACTAATTCTTATGACAAATATTTAGTTTAAATTAACAGTTCCTTTTTAGTATCTCTTGTTAAAATTGCTAACGATATTTATTTTGATATTTATTCTGCTTGTAAGTAGTATCTAATGAAATTCTCGATATTTTATTGATTATACCAAACATTCTTTTTCGCAATTCAAATTCTAGTGATTGAAACGGATTTCTTCTACCTATTTGTAATACCGCGCATTTGCTCCATAAAAAATCGTATGATTTTCGTCCTTTTACCGATTCAAACCCCTACTTCTCAAACCTCTTATCAAGATGCCTACGAAGAAGTAAAAATCGCATTAAAATATTAATATCTAACTATTAACCACCTAATAAAAAAAAAAATATGATCGGAAACAAACGCACGAAATACAGGTTCATATGCATTTCAAATTTCATTTCTACAGTAGGTAACACTAATAATCAAACAAGATGTGTGACGATGATGTTGCGGCACTAGTCGTGGACAATGGGTCCGGTATGTGCAAGGCGGGATTCGCTGGAGATGACGCACCGCGTGCTGTCTTCCCCAGCATTGTTGGCCGCCCACGTCATCAGGTATGGAAATTTTGAAAATTACCATGAAATTCCAATATGTACGCCATTTTTTTGTTACCATGTCTCGCTAATACTGTTAATAATTATTGCAGGGTGTGATGGTCGGTATGGGTCAGAAAGACAGCTACGTAGGAGACGAGGCCCAAAGTAAAAGAGGTATACTTACCTTAAAGTATCCTATAGAACACGGTATCATTACCAATTGGGATGATATGGAGAAGATCTGGCACCACACCTTCTACAACGAATTGCGAGTTGCTCCTGAGGAACATCCAGTCCTTCTCACCGAAGCCCCTCTGAATCCGAAAGCTAACCGCGAAAAGATGACCCAGATCATGTTCGAAACCTTCAACAGCCCGGCCATGTACGTCGCCATCCAGGCCGTGCTCTCCCTGTACGCTTCCGGTCGTACCACCGGTATCGTCTTGGACTCGGGAGATGGTGTCTCGCACACCGTACCCATCTACGAAGGTTACGCCCTTCCTCACGCCATCCTCCGACTGGACTTGGCCGGTCGCGATTTGACCGACTACCTCATGAAGATCCTCACCGAGAGAGGTTACAGCTTCACGACCACGGCTGAGCGAGAAATCGTGCGCGACATCAAGGAGAAACTTTGCTATGTCGCCCTGGACTTCGAACAGGAAATGGCCACCGCTGCTGCCAGCACCTCCCTCGAGAAGAGCTACGAGTTGCCCGATGGACAGGTGATCACCATCGGTAACGAGAGGTTCCGTTGCCCAGAAGCCCTGTTCCAACCTTCCTTCCTGGGTATGGAATCCTGCGGTATCCATGAAACCGTCTACAACTCCATCATGAAGTGCGACGTCGACATCCGTAAGGATCTGTATGCCAACACCGTACTCTCTGGCGGTACCACCATGTACCCCGGTATTGCCGATCGTATGCAGAAAGAAATCACTGCCCTGGCTCCATCGACCATCAAGATCAAGATCATCGCTCCCCCCGAGAGGAAGTACTCCGTGTGGATCGGTGGATCCATCTTGGCCTCCCTGTCCACCTTCCAACAGATGTGGATCTCCAAGCAGGAGTACGACGAGTCCGGACCTGGCATCGTGCACCGCAAGTGCTTCTAAGGTGGTGCACCGATCACAGGGGTTCATGATTTTCACCTGCTTTCTTTTCTTTTTTTTCTATTCGTGCTCGAGCTGTGACCCTTTCACATATGGATTCACCGATGCCAAGGGGAAGAAAGAGAGAAGAAGGTAGAATGGGGGAAAACGAGATTTGGGAAAGGAAAATTACTGAAGTGCCTTTATTCTACACATTTATCAGACTGTACTTTACTTTTTAGTTTGTACAACATGACTGTTTGTTATTTTAACGTTAATTAATTTATTGATAATAATCTCCTCGGCCATTGCAACAAGCCCTTCTCGGCCTTGTCATTATGTATACGCTGACTTACATGTATCGTACAGACACGCACACATACACATACAGATACAAAGGCTTTCTTGAAATCGTAAGCGCACGTAATTTGGCATTTGCGATACGCACGGGGTGGTAATCGACGAGAGTGAAGTATATGATATGGGAAACCATGACCAGGCGCATCAACGTCGGCTCATATTGCTGCCTGGCGTATTGTTCTTATTATATCATATAATTGATGATAATAAAACTGTATTATATAATAATTCAATGTCGGATTATGTGAACCTTATCGTACGTGATATTTCTGGCGATTACTCAAAACAATGACATAATGGACGGGTACAAATTACGATTTTATAGATAAAGTTCAAGAGAATTATTGTGTTTTGGGTTCTCATGACATTTAACTACAGTGTGCTCTGGCAGCTGGCCAGTTTGTGTGCAACTTTAAGTGACTATACATATTTTCATTTCTTTCAACAGACTATAGAGTTACACAGTAATTAAGAAAAATTATGAATAATTCTCTGTTCGCTTATCATTATTATTATTATTATTTATATGACACTGAGAATTAGATATAATGTAAGCGTTAAATCTTCAAGAGGATTAGTTACTCTATATTAAGAACCGACGATACTTCGATCCAGAAATAGATCTACAGGCTACACCTGTTCAGCCATAACAATTTACGAAGACATTACGAGCCAATTAGAAGATCACAGCAAATCCTTTAAAATAGAAATAATTAAATTTATCAATTCTCCGTACGATTTATTCGTGAAATTTAATTTCATCGTAAAACGAAACATCTCATTTATTTCCTTGTCCATTCATCTTTCTGGATATAATTATCTAAATTACCTAATATTTATCTATTACTCGTTTCGACATCAGTCGAAGTAATTATCTCCAGCATCAATGACCGTACTTTAATCCCACAACAAAGACATCTCTCACATCTTTCGAGTTCGAAGATGGTCGATTATAGACTCTTGTTCGAAGGAAAATCCGTAACCCAAGACGAGCGATAAAACTGCGCTACAAATAAAGAAATAACAAAAATAGAGCTGTCGGTACGTGGATACCGTGGCTGTCGGGGAGTGCATGCCGGGGGTCCCCGGGATTGCCTCCCTAGCCTTACAAGGCCCCCGGGTGACTTACGCTTATTTTGACGCTTCACCAACTAAAATTAGAGCCCGCACTCTTTGGGAGTTTTGGGACGTGTATGCATACGTGCGTGCACCTGCATGGGGTGGAGGTGCTCCAGTTTAGGATGACTTTATCACACTCCGTGCCTCTTCACGAGACAGCCACGTGTTGAAAATGCTAATGCTAGAAAACAGATAGCTTTACGAGTAAGCTCGACGAGTAATTCGTATGTATTACGAATCGTTGCTCTTTACCACTTAAATTATTACCGTATCGTATGACTTGTCTTTGTATGAAATAGTGAAACGTGAGAAACGACTGTACGGCATAATTCTTCGGTCTATTATAACGGAATAGATGCAGAAGGAAAGAATTGATAATTTATTTTTTCAAAGATAGAGTCGTTAATTACTGACTTTGGCTGAAAGAAAATTTAAAAATTTATTATCAAGCGTCATAAATAAGATTTATTAGATAAGTTAACGAACAGTTTTCTTTTCTAGTTATGTGATAATATAGATATAATGATCGTGGTTTAGGTTACAGATAAATTATGTTCATCGAGAACGGACAGAAAATTGTTAGTTTCTCGATGATTATAATGAAATTATCTTGATCTTCTAAACACAGGTACATATTACACGTATATACCTAATAATTATAAGTAATAATAATTAAGTGATTTGAATCGCATACTATAAATATTTCCTCTTTTTAATTGGAATTTCACTTTTAATAAAATATATGAAACATTTTCCTATACACAAATATCTTTGATAAATTTGTACCTTATACATGACATATTTACAAATAAATAATAAATATATTATTGGAATCTTAAATAATGTTAATTAATTGTTCAATTATAACTTGTATTATCATTATTAATTTCTAAATATTTTTTTAGGTATGTTGATAAATAATTTTAATGATAATATGTTGAGATAATACATATATATGATAATATAACACATAACATATTGTTTTGTAATATCATAATTAGACTGCGGATTTTGGAGTATAGTTTTAACATTTATCAATTTTCAAATTCAATTTGTATTAAATAGGTATGAAAATCCTGATTTAAATAGTGATATTACGTGTACGATTCAAATACTTTCCTAGATTTTATGATAAAATAAAAAAATACTAAACTTATATCTATGCACTCTGTATTCAGTTATCTTCTACGTTCTACATATTTAAGTACGCATGTGTCACAACACTTGCAACGGCGCATACATATGTAACGTGGTTCTTTATCAACAAAAAGCGAAAAACAATTACTTTCGTAACCTCGAATTCGAGATACAGTACCAGGTACGTTTTATTATCTAAGGACTTTATTTAAATACAATTTAACAACATATCTTGTTTGTATAAAGTATCGTTTATTTGTGAAATAGTTACAGTGATTATTACTGTCATGTGTATCTTGTATCCTATTCTATTAAAAGGAGAATAATCAAGCGATGACAAAGATCGCCATTCTTTCTAAAATGTAATCTATGTCTCATCGTATAGTCACGAAAGAAAATAAAATGTTGATAGAAATTCAGATGTATTTAAGTATAAAGGGATTAAGTTAATGATCTGTGATTATTAATGTGTATCTGTGAAACGAGTTACGTTCGTTAAGGAATTTTATGATCCAATTCGAACGAGAATAAAACATGCCGAGGTTGCAGTATAAAACATCAATATGTCAATACAAGTAATATAGGAATATTTTAGATACATAAGGTAAATTTCATAAATTATTAAAGTCGTTTTAATAGGAAGTAAGTTTAATTTAAAGAATGATTTAATAATTACAAAAATATTTGATACAGTGAATTTTTTATGCAACAATGTTATGTTAATTAATGCTTACTGAAAGGAAAGCTTTTTATGTTCCCAGTATTAAAATTATTATAAAATTATTATATGAATAGCATTTCTATATTTATATCTGAACAATATGGTAAGTTTGTAAAGGAATAAAAATATTTATTTTTTTTTGCAGATTTATATTATATTGGCACAAAATGTAATATTAAAAGTAGTATTCTTATATTATGTTTACAATGAAGGAAGTTATACCAATGAGCTGGTTGAACCAGATATTGTTGATTTTAAGTATATTAGTTACATTGTTATCTGTAATTATACAAGAATGGGCTGGTCTGACACCATTATATATTTCTATTTCATGGGCTATTTTTATTATAATATTATCAGTGTGGCTCAGTTGTTTTTTATTTCAAGTTGCATTAAAAGCTAATAGACCACTTAATATAAGGTTTGTTAATAATTGGTTATATAACAAATTTGTAAATAATTTGAAATTACAAATTGATTCCAAAGAAAAGAGTGAATGTATTAGTAAATATGAGAATGAAGTAAGAACAAATAAAAACACAAATTCAACACAAGTATCTAAAGAAAAGCGAAAGGAAAAAGTAGTAATTAGATCTAGTGGAAAAGATACTTCTTTAAAAAGAAAGAGAGCAGTAGAAATATATAATTTAGTAACAGAAATAAATTTAAAATGCATAAAGGTTTGGTATAAATCTATAAGTGATGATAAATCATTCCCTAATGAAGCACAAGAATTGCTAAAAAAATTACTGACCAAACTGTTTCATAAGATCAGTTTAATAGACAAAATAAAGCTTACTCATAAGCTGTTTAATGTGTTCTTATTACATTTAAAAGAATATCAAAGGTACGATGTTTTATATATATGTTTATAATATAAATTATTCAAACTAATTATATTATATTGTAGAGCATTACGACGGGTCGAGAAAGGAACTGCACCAAATATTGAAGAAGCATTTAGATATTTACATCCTGGTTCTCGTAATATGCCAGCGTTAGAACATATGCTTCATCGAATGGTTACTATCCTAGCACAAGAATTTTTACAATGGGAGTTAACAAGTTCATTACCATGTAAACTGTTACTATCTATCTTAGCAAAAAGATTATTAATAGTTGTTGAAACAGTAAGTTCTCCAAATTGGTTATTTCAAAATTTATCTGACTTTTTACTGCAACAAACACCAAAAAATGTTGCCAAAGTTCAAAGTAAACAGGAAGAGAATATTCCACATGTCAAAGTATGTGCAGAATTCTATAATGCTTACTTTACTTATCATTGGTTATTACAAACTAATAAAAGAACTATTTCAGAAAGTTATATCCAATGCTCTAGGAGATGGTATAACATCTGCAACAGCAGCTGTGATTCCACGATCACTACCAAAACCAAAATCTGAATCATCTACTAAACCTTTAATTAAACACGAGAATACCTCAGTATCTATAAATGATAAGAGACCTACTTTACATTTACATAACTTAGGTACAGAACATAGAGGTCTATGGGGTCAAAGTATAGTAGAGATAGATGCTGAAATAGAAGGGGATAAAATATCTCCTGTATATGAGGAACCTACAGATTTTGCTACAACAATTGCTAGACTTAGAAATGTATTACAGCAAAAGTCAACTGTAAATACACCATTGTGGGTATTAATATTTTTCAATTTTAATAAATAATTTAATAAATCAAATATACATCTATATTATATTTTTCAGACATGTGGAAGAAAAATCTTATGTAGTATATGAAGGTAGTCAATTTACAAATTTGTCAATTCCTTGGACAGAATTTCATACAGCTCTTGATGGATCACAACAATTACTTTATTGTATTCAATTTGATGATATAGAACAACGGGGGGTTGATCTATTTGAAACTACAACTGCTACTGTTAGAAGACAATATCGCGATTTTGCTCAGTTACATACTAGTCTACAAGAGGTAAATTTAACATTTTATACCTATTAACTGTTTTATAGTACTTTTTGATTTATTTTGTGCAATGTAAAATATATAGATTCCAGAATTAGCATCTATTATGTCAAATTTGGTATTACCAAAAGGCGGTCGTCTTGAATTAGAGAATTATTTGAAAACTTTAACTACACGCTTGGCTAGTGAATGTCCACCGCAATTGCGACATTTTTTACGTCCAAGTAGTAACGCTAATAAAAAAGCAGATGTGGTTGCACCTCGATTTGACAAGTTTTTAGTCAAAACAGTAAGTGGTGTTTTTAATACTTTAAGAACAGTCGTTCCAGGTTTTGAAATTGAACAAGAAGAAGAAAATGTTCCGTTACCAACATTAATGCCTTTAGCTGATATTCCGTGGAGATTCGTCGAGAATATTAAATCGGTAATTAAATGTAAATTTTAATGGACAAAATATTTCAAATTAAATGAAATTTATAAATCATATCATTATATATAAAATTTCACCTCTCTTATTATAATAGAAAAGTCTAGCAACTGAACTTCAACAATTAATAACTGAAAGAACTGAATATTCTTGCGTGGATTCTGCTTACGAAGCTGTTGATTCAATGGAGAGTGCTAATGATTCTGCATTATTAACTCATTGGTGGGAAACTGTAAAAAGTTCTTATGAAGGTAAATATAATGTATTATAAAAATTATTGAGTATGTTATAAAATGTTTCTTTTCTTTTACTTTTATTTTCAGAGGACCTTGATGATTTGGATTCACATCTAATATTAACATGTGTTGCTGTCGATCTTATTTGTGAATTATTGGCAGGAGTTGGAAGTAATAATGCCTTGCAGCAAGAGGCAGTTGTTCGATGGGCAAAGCTACTCTTTGGAAATGTTACTGAACCTATATTACAAGTAATAATTCATATTTATTTATTATTTTTTATTGTTATAAGAAGTACTATTATTTTTATGTTCAGTTATGAATTTCTTATAATTACAGACTGTTACTTTACAAATTTTTGATCAATTGGGTAATATATCACTTCATAACGTCCAAAATAAATTTTCTGAGGAACCACTGGAACTATTAAAAAAAAGACTGTTGCAAGAATTATTAGTTAAACTTCCAAATGATGTAAAATTAGTATTTGGCGAAGATGACACGTTAAATATTTTAAAGTATTTACTTGATTCTTATGAAATAAAGAAGATTAATGTAGACTTAAACCTACAAATATTAGATGTTCTAGCATCACAGCTATTAAGTACATGTAGGTCAAAACATAGTACAACTCTTTAATAATTTAATTTTATTTTAATTCAATAACAAAAGGTTGATTCAATTCCTTTTCTCAATTTTACTTAGCCATTGATCAAGTTACAGGTCTTAGGAGTTGCTAATTATGTTTTAAAATATGTTTTAGTCGAAAGGAATTGATGTGCCATATGTAACTAAATTTGTTGATTTAATAATGTAGAATTATATAAAATTTTCAAAAACAGACTATGTACCTGATTATATAAACTAAGGATGCCAAGTATTTTTTTCATTAATACAGGACTCTTTATGAGTTGTATGATGTAATTCACGCATATTAGGTACTATATGCATTTAAATTGTACATTTGTATTTAATGTTTAAGTTTTGTACAAATATTTATGAAAAATCATTATATTTCACAATTAATAAAAGTCTATCAATATACATCAAATGAAACTTATATGTATGCAAAATCTTAGGAAATTAATACATATTTATTCTTATGAATAATAACATCTAATTTATAATTTAATTAAGAATCCTTCCCTTTGTTGTGACCCTTTTGTTTTTCTAATTGTGCCCTGAAACAAATAATTGTATTTTAAAAAATTATATGATTTGACAATTTTTTAACTACTTATAATGTTCTTAATATTTTAAAGGAATTTATATTTTTCAGTATTAAACAATATTGCTATAAATTGCAATAGTATTGCAGTAAAAATATCATACTAATGAGATTGAATTGTTTATTATTTGATGGTTTATAAACCTGAAAGCCATGTGCTTCTTAAAATAGTGTTATGATAAAAATTACCTTAATTGTTGATTAAAATCATCTTCTACATCATCATCATCCCAGTTGTCTTCCCAAACACTAATATCTTCATTGTCTTCATCAACTGCAGTCCAATCTATCAAGTCATTCAGTCAAATTGAGGTTAGAATACTGCACGAACCATTTTAACAATTATAATAAGTGTATAGCATTAAATTATTGTACCTTCTGCAGGGAACTCCTCAAATTCATCATCTTCCTCTAATAATCCGAGATCAACCTTTGCTTTATCGTTCTTGTTTTCTGACATTGTGAAATTTTATAATTATCACGTAAATATGTCACTTACGGAGGTAGAAATAGAACACATTTGAATCTTCTAGAGACTTTCCTTGCTGCATAAAAGACGATCGAGCATGAAATAAAAGTTCAAAGCTACCAACTTTGACTCAGAAGAAGAATTCTATAAATTATTATAATAAATTTATTTTAATATAAAGAAATTAAATTATCGTTCCTCACGTATTTTCCTATAATAGTGAATAGTGAATTTTATAAAAAGATATTGATTCTATAATAGCATTCTTCAACATATACTAAAAATGTCATAAAAAATGCTTAAAATAAGTAATATAGGGACTATAGCACTTGGTTTGAAAATTATTGCACTTGACTTTAAAAAAGTATCTATAATTTAACCAGTTCTCTTAATTGAAACTGATTATATGATATTAATAATAACAATAAATAATAAAGCCGGCCCGATGAAGATAATATAATTATTTTAATCTCTTAAATACATATATCGTAATATAGATTAAATAGATATACATAATATAAATTAAATAAATGTATCGTAATTATATATTTTGTTAAGAAAAAAATATAAGTAATTGAATTTCTCGAAATCGTCAAATCATCATAGGCATTCAAAATTTGCGCTAAAGAAAGTTAAATCTTCGTTATATCACTAGATTGCGCTGACCACTGATAGATACTTAACATTAATTTACTATCTTGTATGTACTTTTAGGTATAAAATACTATTATAAGCAAAGAGTAGGGATACAACTATTGTATCCATGCATACCCCTACTCTTTGTTATACGTGTATGTATGAATGTACATCCACTGCTGTATAATAAAATTATATCACAGAAAGTACTGTGTAAACCGAAAAGCATACATTTCAAATCTGTAAATTAATGATTGATATCGTATAATTTAACGTTATCAGTTTATACGAATTACCAATACTTTTAAGACATTAAAGATATATATAACTAAGTATATATTCGATTACCTTATCGTGTACAACGGAAAATTCCTTGTATCCTTTTTTTCACGTGACGCAACATAGGTAATCGTAAATATTACGTTTCACCGTTGATAGTTCAATTCATCAGAAATTAAAATTAAAATTGGAATTCGTGTTGATAAGCAAACGAGTGTAAGAGTGCGCTTACCGGTGTGTCGCATCGTAGTGGGGCGAGGGGCAACACACCAATGTCGTAAATGGAATAACCAATCATTAGGTACTTTTTTCCCCAATCTCCCCGTTTATGGTGGGGACATTCAGTTTCGTAATGATGAAGTGATTCGTAGTCGTAGTCTCATAGTAGTCATTGAGTATTAAGGAAGATAACTGTTAAAACGCGATGGGTTTGGAGGATTACAAAGAACTTGTGGCATCATGTGCCTCAATTTGTACAATGGCCCAAATGTCAGCTGGCACGTAAGTTGAGGAAATAAAAAAATTTCGATTTATGTTTTTTCTGAAATACAACTTTCGATTTCTATTACAAACTATACGTTTTGGAATAGAAGTGTATTACAAACTACGTGAGCGTGTACTGTTCTTTGACATTGACATTTATATTCAAACTACTTTTTTAATATTCCACGTGATACGCCGAACAATAGATTTCTTTGTTTTTTTCATGCATTGCGGCAAAATTGAAAGAAGTTGTGTTACTTTTATATAAAGCCATTAATTATAAGTTATAAAATTTAAAAAATATGTATATATGTACTAGTAAAGTCCTGAATGTTATGATATAATTTAAATCGTAAATGTATGTTTCTTTTAGAAGTGCCACATCATTTTTTTTCATTATTACGGTACTAAAATATTTAAACCAGTTTATTTGCGAATATGCGTATGTGTCGCTCATTTTTTTAAATGACTAATTATAATGTAACAAATATGTATATATGTTTTTATAAACTTATCATAAGAATAATTAGGTATATTACATACGAAATTTTTATATATGTTTCACATTGATCTTTGTAAATTAAAATACCAAAAATGATAGTATTAATTATATGTTTGAACTATTATTGATGTACAATAAAAACATCTATTTGATATTTTTTATGTATTTATAACATGTGAGATATGTATGAAATTGAGCAATTAGGATTAAAGAAATTTATAACTAGTAACTAATTAGTAACTAAAATTAACAAATATTTTATATGATTAATCGTAAATATTTATACATAAACTTTGCAAATTTCATTCTCGTTATTTGTACCTATACCTAATAATAATTTTAAAGAAAAGTGCTGACATAACATGATTCATGAATATATGAAGTTATCTAATAGCATATAGTTTATATAATAGAAATATAATATACCAATTTGTATAAGCAAATTGTATATATAATATATTATATCTATCATATGTAGATTTATAGGTCATTTGAAATATTAAATTTTTGTATCTTATCAATGTGACTTCAAAATATTGTAAAGATATAAGTCAAAAATTGTATGCGTGATTTTACATACTAGCTGTTTACATTATTACTATCAATTTGAAGTATATTAAGTAATAAAAAATAAAATTTTTGATTGTCATTTAATTGTAGATTGATATGTAAGGATATTTATCAAAAGGGCTCGTCTAAAGGATTTGATCCCATGCCTTTTTTGGGTGGCATAGGAATGTAAGTGCATTATTATTTAACATAGATGACATAAAGATAAATACGCAGTGTGTAATGTTATTTAAAACATATTACTTGTTGTTCTGTTCTTGTGAAGTAAAGATATCTAAATACAGTATTAATACTTTTGCCTATAATAGAAATATTTCATGTTGTTTTCCGTTCATAACTGTGAAAAAAGTATTATAGATCATAGTATAAGAAGGAAATTCATATATACAGACTATTCAGATAGACATATAGTGAATCAAAAACTTTTTATAGGTGCATCTTGATGCTTCAATATGCATGGATTGTGAGGGATCCTGCAATGATTAATGTTAATGTTTTTGGATTACTCACAAATACAGCATACATGGCTGTATATTATTATTACTCACCACACACGGTACGAGTTTATATTTCTAAATTCAAATGCATGATGTGTTACTTTCTGGCATGTTACTTTCTTTCTTTGTAAATTATTTCCCTTTTTAGTTTCCATGTTTGAACGTTTGAATTAATATTCTGTTACGATATACACCATAGATGAAGTTGTACGTTTTGCTGCTAAATTTTAAGAAACTAAAAGACTCTTAGAAGCACGTAGCTTTAATTTTTGTATATATTGCAATTTTCCTTATTGTATCATACATCATGCATCATACAGGATGAGGCAGAAGTAAAATATTACAAGTTGTTTTCTCCGAAGCTATTGCAGATATCAACCTGAAATTTTTAAATGTTAAATGGTGCAGAGAGGCTACAATTTTAGATTGTAAGATATTGAGAGCATGAGTGTTTTAGGACTGGAAAGGGTGCTACGCCCACTTTTTTATCAAATAAGATGACATATTAATTTTTCGATATTCGGGCAGATGTTATCAAACCTAACAACTTTTATCTAAGGCACTGTTTCAATTTTGTATAGTTAAGGAATTATAGCGGAAAATAACTTGCATAAGTGGAGCTTCGCGAAGATGTCGAAAGATATCAAAAGAAATGTATATTGCTTTGAAAATTATTTTGTTAAATGTTCAAAGAGTTCCCCATTCTCTTCCAAACACGCATTTATTCTTGTGATAATAGCTTTGCGAAACTTCGCGAAAAAATGCTTTAGATAAAAGTTGTTAAGTTTGATAACATGAGCTCTAATATCGAAAAATTAATAGCTGATTAAGAAAGAACGAGGATAGCATCATATATCCCACAATATTTTACATCCCTAAAATGTTGGTGCCTCTACCCTTCAATACCTAAAAATTTCAAGTTAGTATCTACAATGGCTTCGGAGGGAACAGCCCCTAACACTTTACCTGTCCCGCCCTGTATACAAAATTATAATATTTTCAGTTTGTTGGATTTCTTTTTCTCTTTTTTGCGAAACCAAAATGTAGCTACATGTAGCAAAGTCATGTATCCATCAGTAGTGCAAAAGGCGCGACAAACATTCGCAAACACTTGTAACATTTTCAAGATAACGTGTACGTGTATTTACTATTTGCTAATCTGTTGCACATCCGATAGATACGAGGCTGAATATATAACGAGACATTGTCTTTATTGAATTACAAACAATTGTAATAAAATAAAAACACAGGATATCCGATAGCTGGTAGTATAACCGGCCAGTGGCTGATCCCGCATGAAAAAGTAAGTCGAAAAGAAAGACTAAAATTGTTTCACTCCACCCTTCGCTTTTGAGAAAATCAAGTTTGAAAATGTTTGCGGTACACGTACATTTAACCCAGCTCAGCGGATTTTACTGTAGGCTATCTTCATCCATATTACTAAACGTTTCTAATAATAGTTAACAATTTCAGATGACTTGAATGTTGAGGGCACAGGATGAAAGAAAGTGTATATTGCATGAGTGTGGAAATAGTGCAAGAATGATAGAAAAGATTTCTGAGTATATCGTAGAAATCCAAATGTTGAGCAACTGTTTTCTATGTACATATATAACCCTCTCTCGGTCATAGTTTTTAAGATATTGGCCAAAAATTTATTTTGTTTATAATTGTGCCTTGGTAATGGCCTATGCGTTAGTATTGGCTGCCAGCAGCCTTGTGGCGAGCAGGTATAACGACCCAAGCGAAAACTAGCTCTTATCTTTTATTTCTTGTACGTATAAACGAGAGTTTGGCGAGTTTGGCTAAAGGTCCGTGCACAACTGCATATGCGAGATTGTAAAAAATGTGTGTTATAACTTACAATGTATTGGATTTGGGCTTGAGTTAGTTCTGTAACGAATGAAATTGTTGCGTAAGATAATAACAATTATTCTTTTCGTAAAATAACATCAATTATTCGTTCGCCTGCTATTTTTATAATTAATTTCTTATCGTTTCACGTAAGCGTTGCCAGCCGCCTCACGGTAGCCAGATTCAAAAGACTAACGCGAAGCGAAAACCTAATATGTAGATTGGTGTTCTTAATTGAATTATAACTGGCATTTCTTGCAGCCTCGCGTGTGCAGTTGTGCACGAGGCCTTTGAAGGGGGATTCTCGTGTGACAACAATAGAAGGAAATGATTTTTGTAAATCTTTCTGTAGACTAACTACTAATTATATGGAACTAGACGTTTTCGGGATGCAAATACAGTCTTAAAGTACAAACGTAATCTCATTTATATCAATTCTTCTTATCGTTTATTAAATTTTTAAATTACCACGTTTGGTAACTTTTTAAACTGAGAAACTGACTGATTACTCAATTTAGGACAAAGTTGATTTAAATTTGACCAAGGGTTGAACCTCAAATTCAAATAGTTGATTACTTATTAACAATATCTTTTTAAACAATAGAAAAAAAGTACATTTTTCCTCTGAACGCTAGAACTTTCCAATCTTTCGTGCTTTGATTTCAAAAACAGTTTCAATCAAAGTGTAATCTATATCTGCCATTAAGAAAATTTCTGATGACTGTGACAGATGCTATACTGTACGCAAACAATGGCTACATTGTCAAAAATGATAACAAGACTCGTATCCACTTAACTTGGAATTATGCTTAACATTAACATAGGAGAATGGCTACAGTGTATCATATACGCTTACTACTACAATCAAATGTCGTTATCGTCTATGAGCTGTTGCTACAAGTATAATTAGGCGAGTGCGATTTGGTAATCGCCAAAGGATTTTAAATTTAACGTCACAATAAGAGTATGTTGATTTCTACAATATGCTCAAAAATCATGGAAATCGGCGAAGTTGGTGTACCTATAAATATAATTATCTTATTTTTTCATGTAGAACCACCCCCTGTCCGGTTGTACTATCAGTTATCGGACACCCTGTGTATCGATAGTCAGGCAAAATTAAGACTTTACGTAGAACCTAAGTTGGTGTTTTGCGAAGAAACTTTGAACAAATATTTCTAACCGTATCAATGTGTGAATAAATATTTTACATCGTCTTCCGCATTTTTAGAAGGATACACGTGCTTTAATAGGCAAGGTAGCAGCCTTTGTAGCGGCCTTCCTCGCGTATGCACAAGTGGAAGATCCCGAGAAGCTCGAGTTCAGATTCGGTTTGATTGTGACAGGATTATTTTTCCTCTTAATAGCGTCTCCTCTTCTACATATTGTAAGTAAAATTCCACGAACGTAGCTAAGAGTTCTAACAAACTTAATACCCACGAAACGAATAATACAAGCATTATTATTCGTTTGCATAAATCTTTCTTTACTTATCTTACATCCTTAGCATTTTACTCTAGATTTTTATTCAATTCTTCAAATTTCGATAAATATGTTAAATGTTAAAAATAATTATTGAAAGATCGTTGCATGTATATATGTTATATGAATGTTTTATCTTATCAATGTAGTTCTGTCGATGATACAATGTCTCTTTTCAAATAGTTAGCTATTTTTTTTTTTTCTATGCAATAATCGATGAGAAATTTTGCAATCGTTGAGTAACATTTCTGCGTTGCGACAAGAAGTTGTAAAAAGTTGTGAGCCGTGACAAACCATGCGAAATCGTGTAATCATCCAAATAGAAATAGCGCAACTGGATTGGAAACTTTCAGATATTGTTATCGTAAAATTTTATTGCCTTCAGTAAGATTTCGATGAAATTTATCGAGCTTCTTTAATCACGATTGCGATGTTTTAAAGAATTTAACGTTGATTTTATGTTCTTCAAATTTTCTCGGCTAAATTAGGATATATCTAACAGCCGTATTATTGTAGTTCCGTTACGTATTGCCTCAATTTCTCATTGACCGAGATGTTCTTTGCACGCCATCGAGCGTAACAGTATTTTACCAGATGAGATTCATTTTCAAACGTGTAGCAGTTTCTGTGTACTTTCCTGAGATATTATACATCTTAGTATCCAATTTATTCGTACAAACAGTTCTAAATATATTTCTTCGTACTTTTACTTGACTTCGAACGAAGAATCGATTTAGTTAGTGAGTGATTTCTTTGTTAAACGTATTTCTATTTCGAACGAATGCGGCACAAGAGCGAGTTAGAAAAAGATACTCTGATATTCTCAAACGTAATGTTTAAGAAACACTGCTATTATGGTTCGCATGAAACAAATAATACGAATCAGAAGTTTCGTTAATAATTTTTTAAACGCCAGACATTATCTTTAATGATATTTAGATTGTCTGAATTAACTGCATTTACGAAATTTGTTTATACGATTGCAATAATCTTTTGTTTTTTGATTCATCAGAGGGAGATCATAAGGACGAAAAACACGGATATCCTTCCGTTCCCACTGATATTTATGGGCACTATTGTTATATCTTTATGGCTATTGTACGGGATTATAATTAATAACGTCTTCATTATCGTAAGTAGATTTTCTAATTCTTATTCCTTCGTACTATCTAAATTACTACAAAATTCGCAGATTATCACTCGCTAATGTATTATGTATTTTTAAAGTTTCAGAACTCGGTTGGTTTTGTTTTGTCTGTGGCGCAATTGTCCCTGTTCGTGATATATCCATCGAAATCGAAAGGCAAAGCTTCCAGCCAAGAAAAGAAGGATTAAGAAAAGTGATATTGTAAATACTGGAACTGTGTAGGATGTCTTGTGCCTCCAACTGTTACAATTTTTCTACAAATTAGCAACTAAAATAAGGTCTACAAATATGAATTGGATAATAGCTAACGCCGATAGCCATCGATGTTAATTGTTATATCTAGACGATTCTTATTAAACGACGAATTTTCTAACGAAACATACATTTTTTTAGATCCTGAATATTCTCGAGCGTAAAAATCTCTATATAGTCTAAGACTTTGTTTAATGCTGTTATTTTTACTCGTAATCTTTACCAGATTAATTTGTACAATTAACGTGACATGATAAATCAAGTCATCAATTTTCAATGTGCCGTAAAATACATATTAGCATAATTTAAGACATATTAGAATATACATATAGGAATCAAATAATTGAAAGTTAATCAGAATTTGTGTACATTGCGGAAGTTTTACGGCGGAATAATACTTAGACGATTATAGTCGGAGTACTTTGTCAGCTATTAAAACAGTTGACAAGTTTATAAATGCTTCTATCTTCTAAATCATCGATTGTATATTTATATTTAGCAATCTTCATATTCTACGCTACAAAGTAACTTCTCTTCAGAATTGAAATGCACAATATTATATATAATCGTGTTTAATATGATGGCTGCGATCGTGAAGTTTATAATTTTATCAGAGTAACATATTTAATTAATCAGTTAGATATATCTTTTAATCGCATAATCTTTAAATAATACTTTATGCTTAAGTAAAGCATTTACAGTACATGAATTTTCAATGTACAGAGGTTTCCATTGTCGATATTGTACAAAATATGGTTAAAATCTTCTCCAAGTCTATATTACTTTTAGTATCCACAGATTATTAAGCGATATTATACTTTTATATCTTATTTCTAGTTACACATTTAATAAAAATCCATTCTTTGTACGTGTATTAATAGTACGTGGTGCGCAAAAAGGGGAGAGATCTCTCCCCTGTTATTCATTCAGTTGTACGTTATATTTAAAACAGGAAGATCTTTTCAATTGAATAACAATGCTGCAAATGATGATAGATTTTGGTAAGTGACTACATGCGATAACTCTTCGTTATTAACCATGAAGAATCAATTTATTTCTAGTTCAATCGCAATAAACCGAACGTTTCCTATTATTCGTTTAACTAACCGGACAATCATTTCATTAGAATATTTTAAATGAAAAAAAAAACAAACAAATTTTGAATATAACAAGGATCGCTTTTGCTACGAGTCTTTCAATCTTATCATTTTAAGTGTTCACAGGTCAAAATGGTTAACTCCGCTTCTTGTTAAATTTTAGCCAACCGTTTGATTGCCCAAACGATTCATTGGTTACGTAATTTCATCAATTCCCTCTACTTGTTATCTCGTGGAGTTAATCGATCTGGCAAGTAAGTGGTTCAGCCGTATTTTTAAAAACGATTTATCTCTTAAAATCACTATTTTCTACTATTCCTTAGATACGTGTAATGATCGTAACGATCAATCTGTAGCGTAATAAATCTTATCTTATCTTTATTATTCTCCTGAAAGTCACGGTTACCGACTCCGCTAACAGAGGTGCGTTTCTTCTTCCATTGAATTCATTACGTAAATTCAATTGTATGTCTACTAATAAACGTATATTTCTCAATGACCGACACGCTCTTCGTACGATGCGGAGCGTGTGTGCGCGCTCGCCTCGGATCCGCGCTATTAAGAATAACCAAAGGTGATTACCATTTTACTTTCTACGGGGGCCACGTTACACAGCATGCAAATGCAATATTCTCTTGGCAACTGGCTGCGGTTCCCTTGCGATTTACGTCTGCGATGGCTCGTTAGTAGTCGCTCTTGGTATCGGCTTATTATATGAACGACGTACATCATCGCTTGACTTTCTGATCGAGTTTGCCGACTAATAACAGGAAACAGTGACCTTCTATTTAGTAGACAGTAGCATGTCTGGGTATGTGGTGGCCAGTAAAGTGTCCGATTGTTTGACGGGCACCCGGTACTCTATGATTTTGCACGCTAAACCGACGAACGTTCAATTATTTTTCGATCTCCACGACAGATCTCGTTACGTTCGTTAAATTACAGAAACGTTCGAAATATTGCTCTTCTCTTTGTCTGTTGGTAATCTCATCGAGCAGCGTGACAAATTAGCAGCTTAATTGTACGTCTCGTATTAGTAGAAAAAGCGCCAGTGACGCGAGTTTCTTGAGTTTTGCAAGTTTCGGCACGATACGATGTAAATGATTTTCGTAGCAACGCGTGTTTCATTTGTGCTACCTTGAGCAAGCAGAGTAATTGTTTGCAGCGTGTTGGAAATTTCAATAATTTCTTTAGCTGCTTTGATAGCCTCATTGCCGAGGAACGGTCTAAAGAAGAAGATGGCACGAGGTAAGTGTGTCTCGTTCGATTTTCCATAATGAAATCCTCGAGTTACTTGTTGATGATTTGCGTTGGTGTTATCAGGTTTGTTCGTGTCTCAAGCGTTCCGATGTATTGAACGAAGCGACGTATTACTGGCTATTGTTTGAACAAAATTCGATATTTTATTTATTTCGCGTTAAATTAAAAGATATCGATGATCGTAAGTAAATTTCGTAGTTCTCGTTTGCGTTTGAAAATGTACGGCTTTGTCGTTTGACAAACAAGAACTTGGAACGAAGCGCAAATTATAGCAGTATTATTGGAAATTTCAGCTCGCCAAATTTTTATTTGGTGCATGAAAGGATCCTTCATGGAACGTGAAGAGACTAGGTTCGGTAAAAATGAGTCATTTGCCACTTATAAGTGAAGCTTGTGTGAGCAAAAATAAATAATTAATTATTGTGTAATTAAGATACCATTTATTACCGCATCTAGCGTATTCATTAAATTCCATTTTAATTTCAATCTTTGACTTCGCGATTTTCATCGATCTCCACGACTGCAAAAATACTTGTCCGAAGAGTTAAGAAAGCTTGTATCGGCAATTATTGGTAAATATTTTGATGAAACGATCTTGAAGCATCGTTGGTTCAAATATATCAATGTTAAAGTTACGTTGAGAAATAAAAATAATTTGGGAGGTACACTGTCTTTCCATTCAATTCTGAGAACGTTTCTAGCGATCCAGGTAATTTGAGAAAAAACTGGCTCTGTAAAAGGTATCGAAATAAAATCTGTCTCTTTCTAAGTAACTGTGTCGTTTTTGTACGTATATTGTCATCAGTATCGTTCAATGGAGAGAATATTATTCTTAAAAGTTTGAAAATATCGAATATTTTTGTTACCATGATCAATCTTGATTTAAAATTCTGTTTTTAAAACGTGACTAACAAAAACATCGTTTCTCTCCCGTGAAGAAGACATTTTATACGATCCTGTGCTAAAAGCTTGAGAACAATATGAAACTCCTGTAACTTTCTATTCCCCTTTCCCATATAAAACCTGTCGCATGAATGTTTTATACTCCGCGGAATTTCTATTTCGCATCGCAATACCGTATTATCATTAATTCAAATAAATGAAAATCGTACGAGTTTTATTTCATATTGTATATAAATGTATATAACGAAAAAGGCATGGAAAGAATTTTCATGCAACGGAAACATAACCCGATACTTGTATTTCGCATTATACTATGATATTACGGATTCCATATTTATCTTAACGAAAATGCGACAAAATTTCTACTTTCTTGAATTAATGTTGCAAAACATAAAAGAAGCATGATTCACGACCGACACATTTGGTCCGCGATTTACGTCACGAAACTGTGACTGGCTATCGTAATTCAACAGGTTAATTGACTTAAGGCAACGTGACAAAATAAAATTAATATCTTTCTTCCATCAAAATTAATATCATTCTTTTTCCTTTGAAGAAAATATGTGGATGCCTTCAGACGATCGCTAATATCGTCAATATTTCAAGGTTTTCAACGAAGATAATTCGTCGATAAATATTGACAATATCGATGATACACACGCGTGTATCGATCCTTTTAGGTTAAGAATATCGAATACGGTAGAAATTCGTTTATACGAACCTGTCCAACCGGGGAAAGAGTCGATTCGTATGTGTCGACGATTACGAAAAGTGGCCAGAGTCAAGAATCTAGCATAAATGAGTTTATCGCTTATTTCACGTTGCGTTTATTTACGTTACCCTATAATCCGAAACCATCTTTGTAGAGTAGTGGAAGTCGAGTCGTAGGATCGAGTGGGTTTTGCAGAAGACGATCGTTTCGCGCCCGTTGAACAGAATTCATTTCTTTCCTCAAACGCAAAGCTGTAAATATCTCGAAACGAAAAGCCACTTTTATGATCATCCACACGATGTAACCACGTCGTTCATATGACAGGAGTCCACCTATTCCTCTTCACCACTTACGATGTTTCGTTCAATTGATAGCAGTTCACATACGTATGAGAGGATTTCACGAAACATTTCCTCTTTAGACGGATAACAATGTCGCGGACTTGTATCGACTGCAAGGCGTTATAGCGTGTCACAGTAGTCGTACAACGCGTGCCTCTACTGTTTACATGTTAGTGACGTTCGTAAAAGCGGTTCGTTGGTAATAGGAGCACAGTTAAAGTTCGGTTAACACTAACCTTACCAGACCCGGTCGTACGAGCAGTTTCACGATTTAATTTAAAATCGTACATTCGTCGAAGTTCACGTAAATTCTTATATTAACAAAAATTGACAAATTGATCGATCAGACAATGTAGGAATAATAAAGGGATCGCATAAAGTTAGATGAACGAAAGCAAAAACAAATTTTGAAACTGTTGATTCGACCAGATCGGCCATTACTAACATTTCGTTCTTACGAATGGAGTTCCATTCTATTGACAATATACAGGGTGTCCCAAACTTAAAGCGCAAGGGCTTAATCTATCGAAATTAAGAAGGAAAAGAATATATCGTATAACGCTTGTGGATAAACGCTTCGTTAGAGAATTATAAGCAAATAACGATCGTACGTATGAAACAGACAACGACGTACTTTTTATCGGCGCACAAAAGTTACCTATATCCTTGTGTAGTTACACGTTTTCCATTGTGCGGTGTTTCGTGTGGTTAACGGTCATGATAATGATGCAATAAAAAGTGATTAGCTAGTATTTTTAGTTTCTCGTTTGAAAACGTCGTTCTTGCACTCGGACACGAGCTTCACAACGATGAATCAATGAAGATGAACAATGGAGTTACAATAACGTCTCGCAGCTTCTGAGAATTTTGTCGACTTTCAAGAACTGCGCTTTTCTATTCCTCGCGCTACTTCTTCGCGCAAACTCGCTCCCGTGAAATGAAACTTTTCTTTTATAGTTCGCCGGGAGCAAAAGACAAACGGTGACCTTGGAGGTCGAAAAATTGGTCCATAACAATTTTCTATCCATCTTTCACTATACTCGGCAGAATTGTACGTACTTGGAAGAATTGACACAAGGAATAAAAAACGCAATTTTTGAAACTCAAGAAAATCCTTAGAAATTGCGAGATGTTAGCATTCCGTTGTTCATCGACGCGAAGCTCGTGCCCGGACGCAAGAACATCTTCGAACGAGCAAGTAAAAATACTAGCTGATCATTTTCTATTGTCTTATTATAGTACAAAAATTTCAAAAACTACTGCTTTTTTGTTCTTTGCGCTAGTTCTTCGTTCAAGTACACCGATAGGTTACGGTGGACCAGTTCATCGGCCTGCAAGGTCACCGGGACCTTACACCCCTTGACTTTTAGCAACCGTAAAACGAAAGGTTCATTCTACGCAAGTGACTTTGCACGAAGAATTCACGCGAGGAATAAAAGACGCAATCCTTGAAATTCAACGAAATTCTCAGGGCCCGTGATATGCTAATTCCATTGTTATCGATATGAAGCTTCGAGTCCTGTCACGTTTATTGTCAGAACTATGGACGACATGTAACTGCTACCATGTGATAAAAACACGCGTGACTACACCCACACCATAACACGGTCGACTTTCGTGCGCTGTAATGAAAAATCGATCGCCGTCTACTTCATACGTACGATTACTCCTTTGTAACTCTGTAACGCAGCGTTTATCGACGAACTTTCCGTAACATTCTTCCCTCTTAGTTAAGCCCTTGCTGTTCGACGACTCAAGTATGCAACACCCTGTATATCGACGATAATCTGACCGCATCCTGAAAGTTTCGAAACTTCCTGGTAGAAAACAGCAAATAAAAGGAAATTGCAAGAAAAGAGAAAAAAGAAGAGAAGAAAAACGACGAAGAATTCGGTACGGCGGTTTTCGGTGCTGACAAACGTGGTCGCACGAAGGAAGTTCGATCGTAGCCGGAAGAGTCGCGTGGATGGCGCGCATCCACGAAATTCATGTCCGCGCACGACTTCCCTTCGTGATTGATCCCGAGTGTGCGCCTCGGCTCGTTGTTAGTATAATGTTCACACACAGGAAAATAGCTAGGTTAACGTGAGTGTGTTCCTGTTCTGTGGAGGTGGACTCGTTGTAACACCTGCTGCATTCCCTGATCCTCTCGTCGCGTTCGAGTCATGTGAATCAGCTGATGGTTCGTATAACAGAGCACACGGTCAGATAAACATCGTAGAGAATAAGAACTGCCATTGCAGCCGCGCAAATGTAGTTTCCGCGATTCCAAGATACGTGTGCTTCGGGTAAATGTGCTTGGCAGGCATTTCCCAACAGTCAAGCGTTCACGATCCTACGTACACGTGCTCGTATTACCTTTCCACCACGTATAATACAACATATAAGAGATGGTCGAGATTCCACGAGCGGGATAATAAAGGAACATCGCGCCAAATGAATACGATTAGTCCATTTTTGTTGACCTTTTGTACGATTATCGAAGTATTTTGGCGGATACGAGATAGTCGAGGGGCAATGAACATTTTTAAGATACGACAAAATTTCTATGATGACTAGCTTAGGTGTTGTTTTAATTAAATTGATCGATATTAGTCCGCGTGATTAAACGGTATTCGTATTTTTGAGATACTCAAAGGAAAATCGAACTAAATTAGAATCGACGTAACGAACTAAACGCAACGAATTAAACAATTATGCAAAATCATGGAAAATATGATTTCTCATGTTTTTCGAAAAAAGATCGTATATGGCTGTAACGTTTATACGTAGACCATGGAAATGATTCTTTCGATCGTCGAACAGAGAGATTCGTTAATTCCGAGAGAATTCGCAGAATAATTTTGTTCTGTATCGAGTCTAATTAAGCGTTCGATACATATATATCGCTGTACATTTGTGTTCGCCTAAATATAATAATAATATTCAGCTACGATGTTATTTGACGTTTCGAATTGATAATACGTCAGTAGGAACGCGATTATAAGCATTCGATATTCGGTATGTTAATCGAATGAGAAATAATGAAATCGTAATTAAAAAGCAATTAAGCGAGAAGTTATTGACGAAATTGTTAAATGAGATCAATTGATGGCGAGGTATCTTTTTACGATGAAATAATTCCATGGTTAACGATCGAATATATGCTATAATTATAGTCATACATATAATTATTACCAGTCTTATACTCCTCACTAAAATATAACAATTAAATTATAAATATGTTATCATAAATATGAACGTTTCATGATCATCGCGCGATACACGTAATCAAAATGTATGAAGCTAATTTCTTTAATGTCAGGATCTCGAAAGGCTGTGATTAATTAATTAAGCGCGGATTATTATTCTCGGTAATTTTTTATATTTAATCATCAGCATAAAAAAGTGGTCTTTTATATCAATGGATTCGCAAATTGTAAACTTTATTTGGTATATTTATTTATCGTATTTATTTATTTATTGCAAATAAATGTTCCATTAAAAACGTTCGTACAAACAGTATATTAGCTACAGCTAATAGAATGTATACTACCAATTAACGTCATTAACGATCGATACGAGGAATATTTTATATTGAAATTTCTTGTTCGTAGGACGAATATTTCTTTCATCGCAGGATGATGCATATTCTGTTGATAAGTTGGTGGATTTTCTCTTTTACAGACAAATCGATACTTGGATCATGTCTCGTTAGATCGAATGGCGTATTTCTTTTTTAAAAATCGTTCTCAACCTTTCGCTTGCTACCTTATTTTCACTGACGTCGTCTGCATATTGGATCGTTTAAGTGGAGTTTTTTAAGGGCAGTTTCTCAGATTTTCGTGCTTCGACGAATCCCTGAAACTTCTTGAATAATACTCTTCCAAGTTTCTATAATATCGTCCAACAGATTCTATTGCTACGCTTCACTTTAATCGTTTTGAGAAAAAAGCAAAGCTTGAAGAAAAAATACAGAGAAAATGAGAAACTACTGGTCGACTCGGTATATACAATAGATGGAGGATTAATTGGCAACAAGCGTAAATTGTTCGTAGGTTCCCAATTTTTCTTTCCAATTTTATTCAAATTGGAATAAATCCTCCGTTTCAATTTTAATTCAGTTTTCCTTTTAAACGAGAACGTACTATATCGAGGATTACAAATAACAGAAAACAGCAGAAGAATAAAGAAGAATAAAGGATATATATATATATACGTAATTTGGAAACTTTTTCCTGAACTGTCAACGTGGTCGATGTACTTTTTCACTCGCCTTTTCGAAGCAAGTTCGTAAATTATGGACGCTACGGAAAGTAGAACGTTTCCCTCTGCGTTCACATGGCAGAGGCACATCCAGAAACGGCAGCCCTCTCTCCCATTAGACTTAATATCAATTTAGAGCACAATACAGGGAGTATTTCGATGCCGTGTAATTTGCTTGAACGTTCGTTAAGTATATCTGGACAATTATAACCGTATCCAATAATGACGAGGTCGCACGAGTCGGTCAAATGGTTGCAACACGCGCCCTTAAGGATCTTATTAGCTAACAAGACACGCTAAATTCTGGATTTTCAAGAAGTACCAACAACGATGAAAAAACGAGAAACAAGAAGAATATTAGACACGTACGTTCGTACAAATCTGCAACGAAAATCGCACGATGAAAATTCTCGAAATTTTCCAATTACACGTCAGTTCGAATAACTCGAATTCATTTTTCAGCAACTGTGACATCACGACGAATTAACGTATGATATACAATATGTATGTATCTGTATCACGTTTTTACGCTTATT